AAATGCGGATTTTACATCAAATTGTTTTGTGTACATATTATGCGAGGAAACTATAGCTAAGAAAACGCGGATCGAATTATATCGTGCTACGGGGCTGAATATATCTTTATAATCAATGTCTACCTTTTGAAGATATCCTTTTATTACAAGCCTAGCTTTAAAACTTGGATTTTCACAATTGGCATTGTCTTTTATTTTAAAAATCCAGCGATTGGATAAAATTTTAGCATTAGAAGGAGAATTTACTAATATCCAAGTTTTGTTTTGACTCAAAGCTAAAATTTCTTCCTTCATAGCTATCATCCACGCATCCGAATTTTTGTCTTTAATCGCTTCATCGTAATTATTCGGTTCTTCCATTTGCGCGATAAATAGTTCATCGATATCTTCCGGATCAAAGGTGTAATTATATATCGCATCGCCCCTATCAGGTGGTTGAATATTGTCGCGATTTCTTAAGTTATGTCTATTTTCTTGCCTTTCTTCAGGCTCTTGAACATTTTCATTCAAAACATTTTCCAAATTATTTTGCATATTAGCATTTTCTAAATTAGCATTTTGCAGATTTTCAATTTCTACTTCATTTACAGGCATTTGCGCATCAACAGGAATATTGTTTGATATTTTCGTTTTCCTCAGTAAAATTTTCGTTATTCTTGTTTGGCACTTCGAAAGTACAAAATTCATAGTCATACATGCTTTCGGAATTCTTTTCAAAATTATCAATTTTAATTCATTTTTAAATAAAACATCGCGGTGTTTTTCTACTCTATTTTTTTCAGAATTGAAAACTCGGTAGCCTTTTGTACAATCGTCGTAACCAACAAAAATACCAATCTTCGATTTTGCATCCCATTTTTGACGATGATTTTTATTTACATGTGTATATACTTCAGTGCCAAATACTTTAAAATATTTAAAAACGTTACTTTTATTATGCCANCAACCGGTGACATTTTTTGGAAAATCACGTGGAGAATAAAAAACATGCAAGATAAGTATGGCAAAAAATGCACTAGAGAGGAGATATTTTGCAAAAAGAAAGAAAAGTATTTTTTTCCACTAATTGTTAATTTAAAAAGTCTTCCCCCCCAACATCTCAGACTGTGAATAGTGAAATTCAGAATCAGCGTATTTTTTTACTAATTTTACCAAACAATAAAACTGCGTCGAAACGGAGAAATGAGGTCATCTTGCTAACTTAACTAAGCTACGGGGGTTAGACGGCCTGGGGGTCTCTCGGCCCAGGTCTCTCGCCAAAACCGCTGGCTAGCCACTTTCCACGCTTTTTTTTTGCGCATGAAGCTGTTGGAAACGCGAGGGTGGGGTTGAGATCGTGTGTTATTTTTCCTCCGCCTCGCGGTCATCCAGTAAATAGCGGCAAAAATGAGTAAAAAATTAAAAATACTAACGAATCCCTTGTAAAAGGCCATAAATGTGACGAGCTGCATCGGTCCTTTGACCCGGGGATCGACCTTAAATGTCCCATCCGAGCAAAGAACGAAGTGCTTGCCTTAAAAAACATTTGTAAATGTAGGGTCGTAAAACAGAAGGTGCGTTGTTGTTCCGTCGTTTACAAGTACGGACTTCCACGTAACGGTTTCCTTTCCATACTTGTATGTGATGCATCCCTCCACAAACCTCGCGTTTAGGGTAGGCAAATCCTTAACGTCGTGTAAATTTTTAACGGTGGCTGTTGCAGCTTTCAGCCGGTAGAGGTGTCGTTCCATGCCGTCAAATTCGACTCTTTTTCCCGCCACCGGATTCCTAAATCAACGGTTACATGCAATAAGTAATCGCATTGATAGAAAAAAGAGAATGAAAAGCACAGGAAGAGAAAAAAAGAGAAAGATTTGGAGGAGAGAAAGAGAGAGAGAGAAAGTAATAGTAGACTAAAGGAGAGAGAGGAAAACAGAGAATGAGAGGAGCAGCACGCAAGCCGAAAGTGGTGAGGGTGTGATTCAAAAAATATTGATTTCATTAAGCCAATCGTAATTAATAAATATGAAATAGATATTTACGTACATGGAGCAAATCTCATCGAAGACAACCCGTACTCCAACGACCCCTGGCTGCTGCACGGCCTGCCGAATCCTTTTTTTCATTAGATCAACGCTCACCGCATCTGGTTCAGGATCATGATTGTGCTTACTGTGACAGACAATCGACCCGTCCAGTTGAAGCGTCGTGGTAGATTCACATTTGTCTTCCTTGTTCTTCAGCTTAACTCTTTTGCATTGCAAAGCCCTACAGAACGTTCGGTATCAGCACCCGCGTGAAGACGATATAAGCATGCACCACCGTCACATTGTAAGCGAAAAAAATCTCCCTCTTTCACCATTTTTTACCGTGAATGTCTCACCTTTTACCACTGCTGTACCGCTTCCGTGAATGGTACATGTACCCCTCAGAATAATAGAAGCCACTTCCCGCTTCCATCATTTCGCAAACCCCAAAAATATCACTCGAAAACAGCAGTAACTCAAAGATTTTCTCCTACTTTAATGAATGCACCTGTCGCGAATGTCGAAGAAAGACTGTGGGCGAAAACACAGCATCGCGAAGAAAAATGTGGCACATGTGTATAGATATTCCCCCCCCCCCGAAGCGGCATACATTTGTTACCATGTTCGGTGAAAAAAACAACACGTGTAAAAGAAAAAATCGCTCGCGACATTAGTACAGCAGATCTTTCTAGAGAGAGAAAAGAAGAAGGTTTAAGAAACTGGACCGATATTGGCCAAGAGCTGGTAGATAAGACACACCTCTTCACATTTTCCTATTGCCCGAGTACGGCAGTGCAACAAACTATGGAGGCGGTTGATCAATGCACATAATCTGTTTACGGAAAAAAATCTAACTTGATTGGTTCAAACGAATAGCGGTTCAAAAGCATGTGACTGTCGCGTCTGACAGTGACAAGAAAGTGATTTCAAATTTTCTGTTAATTTTTGTGTTTTTAAAAGAACGAGCTTTTTTTCTTTACAGGCTCAGAACTCGAAAGTGTAGCCAAGCTTGTTTTGAATTACACATACACAACGACATAAAGTAGTCAAAGTATACGTCTTACACAGCGAATGAAGTTGTATTAAAACTTGCCAGAAGGTACAATAAAAAAAATTTTTTTGGATCCCGCAGATGTGCAGTTTATTCAATCTCATGTAGGACTCGACCAATAACATAACTGCCAGACAAAGACAGATGCCCCGTTACGTAGCGAATTAAGCGAATTATGCTGTCGCATATCACGCCCCCTTTTCTCCTCTATTCTTATACCTATATGTATGGTCGTAAGCATGCCAATTATGACTTCAGTATATATATGACTAATATGGAGGAGAAATAACACAGGTCTTACGGGAGGAATCTTGTTTTTATTTTTTTTTCGCACTTAAAAAGGTTGTTAATTCCATGTTACTGACATAATGAGAATTACGTACTTATTTTTTTCGTTTGGTGAATTCGTTTATAAAGGTTGAAAAAGCGTTTTGAACGTATACGGAGTGCCGTTTAACCCTACTTTGAGCTGTTTGTTTCAGCTGTTGCTGCTGCTGCGCTACTGCTGCTGATGCTCAGAGATAAACAAACAGCTCAAAGTAGGGTTAACGGCACTCCGTATACGTTCAAAACGCTTTTTCAACCTTTATAAACGAATTCACCAAACGAAAAAAATAACTACGTAATTCTCATTATGTCAGTAACATATAATCCCAATAGTTGCAAGAGGGTGAATTAAAAGGAAAACTTTAAATGTATCTAATGAATACAATTTTAGGCGTCAAGAAACTGACACGGAAAATTTATCGAGATTGAAACAGCAGCGTCAAAATCAACAAAGAATCTATTACGTGAGAGATCAGCTTTTCATTGTACCTTCAAAGTAATCTGTTAAATTTTTCAGATTTTTAAATAAGTAGAAAATGTATTTGTATTTTTGTTGCGACAAAAAATGTAGAAATTAAGCTCCAGGACTTTGTTGCTCTGGTAATAAAGTTGTGAGATAAGAGAAAAAAATTTTGATCTAATATATATTTTTTGGGAGTTTTAAATCTCAACAGCTTAAAAAAATAGTTTGTAAACTATACGGATAAACTGTTAATAAACGGCCCCTAATGGCCAACGATTATTTTATAGCATAAGGAGCGCACGGTACTTTTCAGCATAATTGTGTTTTTTTTTAATTTTTACGGCTTATTATTTGACCAAATATACCAAATAAATTCCAAACAAGTATGTTATTTTCAATAAGAAGATTTCTGTTCTAAGAAGTATTAGAAATAGATGTAAGATTTTTAACTGACAACGTTTCACATCACATGTCAACACACTACGGTGTACATTTAGTAAGGCTCGGGCGAAGCCGAGACCGGGGGCGGCGGGGGCCGCTACTTAGTGAGTACCTATACCATAGAGAATCTCTATGGGACCTATTTGATAATCTTGATTCACTGTAGAATTGGACATAGGTCGCTTGCATATTAGAGAAGGCTGTCGTTGGTCGTCGGGATACCCAGCTGCACGACTAACAACTCTTATTGGAGTATTTCAATATCTAAGGGCTCTGATTGGCTGTCCTGTCTACTACAGTAGGTGAGATCTTAGGTGACTATCTCAAGCCAAACTCACCTGAAATTTTCTACAAAATATCCTTACTAAAAAAAAATTAAAAATCAATTTTAGAGTATTCGAAGCTGTCCCGAGAGAATTACTGGCATCATATAGTCACCTGAGATCTCACCTGATGGTCGTAGATATACGGTGGAGTCTTCATTGATCCCGTAAATTAGCCGGGCCAGGGGATCACTAATTAGTCTTTTATCTCTGGCACTCTCCTATCAGTCCAATTTTGTCCGTCACCATCCTCACAAAACAAAACAAAAATTTCTAATGCTTGATATAGACAATTAAATATTAGGTACAAATTATTTCTACACTAAAAAGAAGAGAAAAAGCATTTTTCAATAACTAAACCATTTAATTCAACAAAAAAACAAGGCCAATAAAATTGTATTGTAAACTGTTATTAGAATGCAAAAATAGAAATTAAAAGCCTAGAACAGATTAGTTTGGTCAAGAGAATATTTTAATTTTTCACACCACAAGATACATTCCAACAGATTATATTAGCAAAGCTATTTATTTTTGAACGGTACAATATTTTGATACCTCTACAAGGAAGTTAAGCAAACAATAGTTCAACAATTTTGGTCAACACTTGATAAAGACTCTCGTCACATCAATTAAATAAGTAGACTAATAATTAATTGTTAATACGTACTTTATTTCTCATAAAAACAATTCGGCCGTTTCGGTATCGCAGTACCTCTTTCAGACGTACAAGTTTTGTTATACATAAATCAGAAGGAAGTACTGTGATACCGAAACGGCCATAACGTTTTCACAAAAAATGAAGTAAAATTTGATAATTTAGTAGTTGTCTCCTCATCATTTAATTATGAAATAAACAAGATAGAGTGAAAAGAACCAATGTTATTACCTTAAAATTAACTATTTCTTTTCAAATAACTATACCATCATACAATGAAGCTTTCACTGCAATTTGCAGCTCTTGAAGCAGTTACGTAAAAAGTTGAAAACAAAATAAATCTAGTTATACATCTTTAATACACCACTGTAACAATTTACCAAAAGATTCTACAAAGAAAAAATATATTTATTTACATAGAAACGCTGGTATGCCCGTTGACCCGATTCATTCAATTTTTTCTCTTTTTACGTATGTAATAGCAGCTGCAGGCACTTACAAAAATGTTTTTAACTAAATTACAGTTCTGAATTTGTCATTACAGAAACTTACTCATTATAAAAGATCAACATAGAAGCTGACTCTACTACTGTATACAATACAAAGTGTAGTGTCTTAGTAAAAACATCTTTAAATTCCTCTCAGGACATAGTCAAAACAAAATATCTTCAACTAATGAGAAATGGAAAAAACGTAATGAAGTCACAAAATTATTTTAGTATACATCCACACAACTCGGTTCATTGTTGGAAGAAGCATTCAATGTTTGCAGCGCTTGTGAATGCATTTTTAGAATCTATTAAACAATTTTAACCAGAATGCATTAAACAACACTGCATTATCTTTGAAAAATATATGACAAAATTTTACAGTCTTTTCATAACATTGACATTAATGTAAGCCCAACCATAATTTAGTCAACTATACGAGTACATAACTTATTATATCGATATTTTGAACAGCTGTACAGTTTTATACGTAATTTTAGCAGTCTTCAAAAATAAAGCATTGGAAAAACTGTACTTAAAATTTTTGTACATTAATTCAAAGGTTTTGACTTGTAAATGCCAAAATCAATCAATACTTTTCAATTGGTATCAAGTGCGTTTCAGCATAGAGAAGACGTAGAGTGTTCAAATATTGCAAAAAACGTTTAGTAACATTGTAACTTAATATTTTTCTCACACAATACGAATATCACTGTGATATAAAATATTACTTGCCTATTTGAGTAGCAGTTTTTGAAAACTTGTATTATTATTATTATTATTATTATTATTATTATAATTAACTTTGCTTTTTAAACGACACAGTTTTAATCCAGTATTAAATTAATAAACTCTAACGCGAACGTACACACACACACACACACGCACATACAATGATACATGCCTGAATAATTAAGTTAAAAACTTTACTATAGTTTTTGTACAATATTTTATGATTCAATAAGTATAAGCATTTGTTAGAATTTCATTTTTCAATTCAAAAAGTTGTTTAAAAACAAATCTTTCTTTTTGAGATTCTTATCCGTAATAATAATACGTGGTCAATGCCATTGATTTTCATTTCATTTCAGTAACATAGAATGTCCAATAAGTTTCAAAGAGCAGAAACACTTACTGTAGTAAGTATTGTAATTTTCAAGTCAGATTTTTTCTAAAGCAGACCATGTTTTCAAATATTTTAAAGTAATAAGCCTAGATTATCTGTCGAAAGCGTATGTTTTTAACAATAGTGTATACAGTTTTTCAAATTTCACATAGCATTAAAGATAGATTTTGTATGGGAAATTTAATTTTCAAGATAATGTTTTCTTTCATTTTCAATATAAAATTCTAAAAGTATTTTCAGTCATAAAGTTGAGTTGAGTTTGCGCAACATTTAAATTCATTGTACTGTATTTAACTGTAATAATAAATTTTTGCAATTGAAAACTAAACGACTACCAAAAGTAATTTAGTCTCATTATCCTGATAAAAAAATTTTCAAAACATTTTTAGAGAAAATCTTTAACCAAATATAATTGGTCCCATGCAATCGTAGAATCAATTACTTTACAATGTTATCAAGACTGTAAGTCTATGATGAAATCTTATACTGTAACTATTATGTCTCTAATTATTTTGGCTATAAAATTACCAAACTTTCTAAAGTCTTGAAAATTTTTCCAAATAAATTTTGAACAAAGAAATCATATGTAAGTGTATAAAATACACTGTAAAGTTTTGAATCAAAGATAAATATATTAAATATCACAATGCATGACTGGTTAGGGACATTACATTGATCTGTCGTACGAAATTTTCAATTTTCAGATGGTAAATCGTCTTTTTTATAAACTGTTTAAAAAGTTAATATATACAATATGAGCTCTTTCTACTACACATACGCTGTAAATATTATATCAAAACCAAGAATAGTGTTGTACAGAAACGAAGCGGGAAAACCATGTAATACGACGATTAATTGAACATTGTGAATGCAAAGTTCTTTCATCTTTTTTAGTGGTGTTAACGGGATGGAATATACCGACCTTCATAATGCAATTTACCTCACCGGCTAAAGTAGTATCTTTTAATATTTTTATTTAAACAGTGTCAAATTTAGCAAAACTCAAAATCATATGCTCTTGATAGGATTTTTGGTGTAATAATAGTAAGTTAGCTTGCAGAAAAAATTGTTTTGTGTGGCGCAAGAATTTGTTTCAGCTATCAACGTATAAAGTCCGAACTTAGTGTTAACATTCAATAAAGCGCTTGAGATCTTGAATTTTCTTACATTTAGTAAAGTTTAAATACAAATAAAAAAATATATTTTACCGGTGAAGTAAATCACTTCAGTAAGGGTACATCTTTTAGATTCCCTTACAGTAAACAAAGGTAGACTTGTCACTTGAGCAAACTTTATATCATAAGTCCTCAAAACTATGTACATTAAATATCACTGTGGAAACACAAGCTCCTTTACGAAGCTCGTATAAATATTAACTATCTCGGTTAGGATGTTTGGCAAGAAATTTTCGAGGCCAAGGCAAAGGCCATTCATATTGTCGTGGAACAGTCCCACCTATGTTTCTCTCAAAATATCTGAACAAGGGGAACCACCAATGTCGAGCCAAAAAGTTATTTGGGCCATATTGCTGCAATTATAAATAAGTGTCATTAAGATAAGCATGATAATTCCTGAAACTTAGGAAAATGAGAATGACATTAGCAAAGACATAAAAACGAGTTACAACTACTTTTAATATAAGGAAACAATTTGCAGATAAGACATACCTTAAGTAGTGCATTGTTTGCCAATGTGTGATACATATTCCACAATCTAGTTGTAACATAATATGCTATTAAAACATCAACAGTATAATGGCCATGAGATATCAATAGCATGATAACTCCAACAACTGCAGATATTCCAGCTAGCCAATGCACTGGATAACACTTTTTCGGAGAATCTGTAGTATATACACATTGAGAACTAATGTTAGTTTTATGCAACAATTTTTTAAAGACTAATGTATTAATAAATTGTACATTACATTCTTGAATGATTAGATAGCTGAGTACAAGCACAACAGTGTGCCCACTGTAGATGTAGTCTCCACAATAAGTGTGCTTGCCATTAATTGATAATCCAAAACCAGAAATGAGTTGGAGAACTCGCTTTGTTATTAGAAGAGGACTTGTGCTATTTTCTTTGGGACTACAGTGATATGTTTTACTGACCACCGGAAGAACGGTGACGTACATCGTGATGCTTCTCATGAAGTACAACAACCCCATTAATAAAAATATTCTTCGTAAAACAATGTACCTGCAACGTGAATAATAAATGATTGGACTTTTGTACACTGTGTTCTCCTACAAAATCAAATCACTACGAAAATTATTACCGGTGTTTGTGAAATATTACAAATACCATTGCTGAATTAGATACTATGATGATAATAATTTCCGATACGGCAAGAGCCCAATCTTGTGCTTCAACATTATCAAGGACCACATCTGGAAGAGGACCATACACATTGCGATCAGGTACACGTTCATGAACTACAGCTAAGGAAGTTGTGGTCAGTATGAAGTTTGCAGTCATGAAGATGAATGCTATAAATACAAAAAATAATTATCAAATCAGTTAAACTTTTTTTTAACAGCACCTCAAACGTGATTAATAACATTACAAACCAAGAACTGTTTTTCCTTTTTCTTTGGGAAATCTTGGCTCTTCTCTGAGTGGGATTGGTATTTCAATTTTTATTTCACTCCCAGAGCCATTAGGTATTCCTGGATGGCGGGTATGACCTATACTGTTTATTTTATCGTCTCCTTCTTCTTCAAAATAGTCTGATTCTGAAGCAACCCCACTCCATTTGTCTTTACTCTTAATTGATGTACATGGAAGTAAAGGTTGTCTCTGGTAAATATCACTTGATTGCGCCATTCCACTACTAGTGCCATCAACAGCTGCTTCAGTGTCTCTGTCGTGTCCACTATCTCTTCCTGGTGGCTTGTCAAAACTTCCGTAATCACTGTGAAGACTTGTAGCTTTGGGATCCAATACCATTCTAACAAATAATTGTTTATGTATTGTAAATGATCAAATTTATATATTCTTATATTTTGGCAGCAAAACTGAGATAATGTTTAATTTACTCTTCGTAATAGCAAGTCTATAAAATTTTTTAGAGTTATGTCGTTGTGAAAAAAAAAAAAAAAAAAAGTCTTTAGTCTAAAAAAAATGTATTTATATAACTTTAGAGCTATATAAATACACTTTTTAAATTACCTCAAGTTCTATATTCTTTGTTTCCGTACCTATTTTACGTTCATTTGTTGTTAGTGGATAATTAAAAGTAGTTTACAAAGCTTTTTATTGATTATTGCAACAGTATAAACATGAATTGCTTACTTTATTTCTAATTGTTAAATTTGTCAGTACCTGAATCACGTTAAGTAGATAAAAATAAATGATCAAATATTTCAGATTAGGAAGAAATGGAGAAGAATGAATGAAAACTAATTTTATAAAGAAGTTTATTATATTAATCAACAGGCAAAATTTCTGTACATAAAAACGTGTGAAAGAATCCCTAGAATAAAGGATATTTATTAATTATGGAATGAGCACTGGACTGAAGAAAAAAATTTTGTGTGCCATAAATATTTTAAATAAAAAAAGACATAAAAGCAGTTGTGCTGGTAATTTATTAGAAAATAAGAGTTTTTCCTACTAAAATCTAATAGTGAATAAATAAAAACATGTGTTAACATTATTAAAAAAACACTTAATAAACAATTAAAACGATCAATAGAATTGACTTAATCACCTAAAAAAACTATTACTGTAGTGAGGAAAAACAAGCTGTGAATCACAGAATGACTCATTCATGTGTAATTCCACGAATGATAATAACTGAGTTACATCATTTGTTTAAATAGCGTTTGCATTAGTAAACGAATTCTTGAAAAATTTGTAACCTCCAGTGTTAATCCATATTTATAAATTTAGTATGTAAAAACAGTAATATTGATGTATTTCTTTTGTAATAACAACAAAACAACAAATGTCATACTTAAAAAAATGAGCTTAAAAAGTTATGAATTCATTGTTATAGTAAATGAAATGTAAAAGTTTAAATAGTTAAAAATAAATGTGACATATAATTATAATGTACAAAGGCAAGGCATAAGTTAGTAATTAAATTAAATTAACATTGTGATGAGAATATTTTACAGAAGTGGAACAATAATTTAAAACTTACAATAATAGAAAAATTAGAAACGAGTAAGATATGTGATTTTAACAGACATATTATCACAATGTAGGTAAAAAAATAACAAAATATTTGACATACAGTATTGTAGAAGTTGCTGAAACATGCTATTACTTACTCTACTGTAACAGCCCGACAAGTAATAGCATGCTGAGGCAAAAATTTAATCATCAGCCACTGGATTATTAAAGTAGAATGCAAGATTATTGTGGATATAAGTTGTTGTAGAAATACATTGTAGTGGGTCATGTTTCAAAGAACTCTTTAGTATACTGAGGAGAAAAACATGCTTGGTTATAATTCTTGATAAGATTTGTTCACAGAGGAAGTGAGCCTCATGCAAATACAACCAACATTCACTTTAATAGCTTAGTGATAAATAATGCTAACTACTTATGCAAAAACACAATCCGTCGTGAGCAGCTTTTTTCCATCCCAACAGTCTTGTATACCTAGAAAGACGTAGGTGTTGCTTTGAATGATTATGAACACTGATAGAGTGACAATACAATGAACAGTTCGTTGCAACGGAGATATGAAAATGAGCAGAAGCATATACCGCGTAAGTGGTACGGACTACGGGGGTGGAGGTGGAGGCCAAAGGAGGTGTAAGGAGGGTGGGCAACTATATACAGCCACTATAGGCAAGGTAGAGATATAGCTAGTATATCATCGTGTTACACTCGCGCAACAAGGATGAAATATATTTTCATAAATAGGTAATATAATAGAAGAGCTAGCGAAATATGTATTAATTATTGCAAGTCATACACGGAAATCTCTGTATTTATGTGAATATCTATGGCAGCGTAAGTGTACATATAATGTACATTTTAAGTATATATGGTATATACACCTTTTGTATATGTAAATGCGACTTGTGAGATCGAGTTACTAAACTTGCGACTTGTGAGTGTAGAACATGTAAGTAAAATAAAACAGGCACTAAGTATAGGCAGTACAGCCGGTGAACGGACGTACCCACTAGACACAACAGTGACTGACAACTGACAACTCACTACTGGTACTGACTACCTACTGACGTACTAAGTTACGAAAAGTATTAAGTACTTATATAGTAGCTGCTCAGGTAACGTGCAAACGTGAATGTGAACTGTGTGAAGAAAGTATGGGTATTAAGTATGCAGATTTGCGTCGATAGTATCGATGCCAGTACTTATCATAGGTAGCTGGTAGATATTACCTAGGTACTGACTATTATTCCTGCTAGGAGTGTTGAGTGCTGAGACTGGTGGTGTAGTAATTAATTATCCTGTAAAAGTGAATATTTTATTGGCTGCTACCATAGTGCAAGATATAGGTGGTCGCATTGTCTATATATTACCAAAGCAAATTTTTGTCAACATTTTGTGTTACTTCAGCTTTCTCACAGCAGGTGTCGCATGGGAGCCGAGGACTAAAGGTCCGAGCACACGAGCGCCTGGAGCCAGAAAACACATTGAATGGCAGAAATAGAAATAATAAATGCAATTGTAAAATTGTATTAATTGATTCAAATATAAATTAATTAAAATGGGCCACAAATGTTGCGTGAAAGACTGTAAAAGTAACTCAACATTATTTAGTGCTCCAAAAAATAACGTAAGTCTGTTAACATCGTAGAGCAAGGTTATTTAAGTAGCTTGTGGAGTCATTCTAAAAAAAAAAGTTATACTTGTGATAAACATTCCACTGAGAACAACAGGAGTCATTTCGATTTCTGTGGCACTGAGCTGTACTGCTGTACATAGATATATTTTTGTATCAGATAATAGAGGACAAACAGATTAGGGGCCACATAAATCGTAATAATGCTTTTATTCTACATTAACTTGTATACATAGTGTTTTGCTTATTAAAAACACATACTTACTGCCAAATTTACAAAATTGTTCATTGCCAATGGCAGAATTGGTAAACATAAAAACCCGTGGAGGGATATATTACATATGTCATTAACGATTTATATGACTTGCTGAAAAATACAGAAAAGTATTTTGTTGAACACATGAGAAAATTATAAAAATTACATATAATATATATTCATCCCTGATACATACATATAAAGCAACTATTGAAAGCATCATCCTAAATTATATTTTCAAGTTCGCTGGTAATGAATATAATGAGCAAATGTTTGCAAAAATTTTAAATTATCACCTTTCCATGAAATTCAGGCAATGGGAAAAAGTATTCAGTACATAAATAACGACATTTTCAAACAAAACAAAGAGCACAACAAATCATTTAAATTATTAAAAAAAGAAATGAATTATGAAAAAAAAAAGAAATGAAAAGAAAGGGAATTAAATGAAATAAAATTAAACAAGAAATGAAAACAAAAAATTAAATAAACGAATACAATATAAAGGGAATTAAAACAACAAACCAGGGGGGATAAATGGGTCATGGGATCCACGATAAGAACGAAGTTCTTTAAACATGACGAGTATAAAAACACAATTTCTCAGGTAACAAGGGGTCGCCAGACCCGTAGGAAGAACGAAGCTCTATAAACGTTGGTACTGCATTCATGTAGTTCACTAAACACCAACTTGAAAAACGAAAAAAAAAAAAAATTAAAAAAAATAGTTCGGTACTCACGATGGTTGAACTTCGTGAGTACTGTATTTATGTACGACGTTCTCACATAGTTCAACTATCGTGAGTAGTGAACTATTTTTTTTTTATTTTCTTTTATTTGTTTTTCAAGTTTTTGTTTAGTGAACTACTTGAATACAGTACTAACGTTCATTAGAGCTTCGTTCTTCCTACGGGTCTGGTGACCTCTTGTCACCTGAGAAATTGTGTTGTTATACTCATGTCATGTTTAAAGAACTTCTTTCTTACCGTGGATCCCATGACCCATTTATCCCCCCTGGTTTGTTGTTTTAATTCCCTTTATATTTTATTCATTTATTAAATTTTTTGTTTTCATTTATTGTTTAATTTTATTTCATTTAATTTTCTTTTTTTTCATATTTCATTTCTTTTTTTTTCATATTTAATTTCATTACTTTTTTTTTATTTTTTTTTTTTAGATGTATGATTTAGAAAACAAATACACAATTTATCATGAATTGAATGTATTATCAGTGAATGCATATAAAAATGGAATATTATAGTTACGAACCACACGATAAGTACAAGAAACCGAAATTCTATAGTCAGCAGCGCTCGTAGCAGACTGGGTAAGTTCTGGACTCAAATGCAGGAGGTCGAGGGTTTAAATCTCTCTATTGGAAGGGGTTTTTTTTTTTTTTTTTTTTTTTAGAATTGTAAAAGAAAAAAAATTCAAAGTCAAATAAAAATTTTTGTGGGAAAATAAAATTAAAATTTGTTTAAAAATTAATTGCTTGGGAGTGTGATGGGGAATGGTGGGTAAAGGTGTGCAGAAGAGTAACATGACACGGTTGGAAGATGTACATATATAGTGGGGAGAGGGGAAGTGTGTGAGGGGGACGGGGTAAGGGGGACACTTGAGAGGAAGAGACTTCGGGTAAACCACTTCCGTTTCAAAAAATCTGTCGGTTTTAAAATTCCAGCCCCCCGAGTACGCGACGTAAAGAACTTCGTCCTACAAACTTAGTTAACTAGTTACTATTTATATATTTTATCGTACAGCACTTAAACAACTCTTTTTTAAGCAAATGATACTTTTTCTAGTATGGGAATGGTGAGACCTCGCAAACCAAAATCAGGTAGCGCTACCGGTACTAAGTCTTAAGCCAATGAGATGTGAGAACGGTTTGTGCACGAAAGTACACATATATTTATACGCCTTGTACGAAAACCAGCCCAATTTAGATTTTTCCATGCTATTTTGAATGAAAAAATCTAAACTGAGGTTTTCGTACGAGGCGTTGATATTGTAAGGAGCCGACTCCGAAATGTCGACCCAAATGCACATATGTATGATACATGTATAGATATACGACCTTGTCGCACCATCAATAATGATAATATAGCGCTACCAAGCATACCGACCTCAAGAGTCAAGCAGTGTGCGCCAAAATTGAAATCTTTTATAGCAAAGTAATAATAACTATAACACTAATTATAATGACAAGAAAAACAATAAAATAATATAATGCAGACGATTCTAGAAGATATCAATTAATATAAAAGGCTATGCAAAAAGCTCCCTATAATTACAAATATTTTGGACCTTTGGGAGACGATACTTTACTTGTTTCAGAAGGAATCGTCATTATAAGCTCCGACTCAGTCACCTTCCTACACACGCTTTTCAGCAAGGCCATAAGCTCTCATACAAGCACTGACTCTTTCGCATTCTTGCACGAAGCCACAATCCTCACACAAGCTTTGACTCATGAAGCCATAAACCCCCATGCGAGCTCCTACTTATTCGCATTCCTTCACGAACCTTCCAAGAAGCTCGCATGCAAACCCTGACGCATTCACTTTCCCTTCGCTATACCCGCATCCCAAGACAATCACGCAGGTTGACTCAACTCCGCACCCAGCCTACCCAAGTCAATAAGGTGCGGCCCACACCCCAAAGCAGTCACGCAAGCTTGTAGGTTGATGCATACATCCCAGGGCCCCACTACGATCTGCAGCTTTTCTACGCTTAGCCAGGGTAGTCCGAAAGTCAAAAACGGTTTCCTAGGTCTAGGTGGATAACCTAGACATCATATCCACGAGCTCTTGGAGAAGAACTTTCCATCAAGGGACCTAACGACTGTACAAGCACCAGGAGGTTACAACCACCTAGAGACCAACTTCCAGAGCGACAGAGACCTTCCTGACCGTGGCCTGGCACTTTCGTGCCTCACCGGGTAATTAACCAACCCTAACAACGCCATCTGCTGGACGAACAACTCCACTAATAACTTCGTGCTCTACGCCAAGGACCAGGTCGTAACAATATGTAGTCTGCGGTCCACATGAATACTTTCGTGCACAAACCGTTCTGACATCTTATTGGCTAGAATCTTAGTACGGTAGCGCCATCTAAGATTCGTTTACTAGGTCACGAATGTTGTCATCCTCATAACTACACATCGCCGCCCTGAACAAAGACCATGCCCTCTGCTTCGAAGCCTAGTAGAAGACTATGCTTTTTTCTGGAGTCTGGACGAAAATTATATGCTTTTTTACTCTAGCTTGAACGAATAGTATGCCCTTTTGGAATCCCGGATAAAGACTACTTTTTTTGGAGTTCGATCGAAAACTATACCTTTTTGTTTAATCCAGACGAAAACTATGCCATTTTGGGATCCCGAATGAAGACTATATACCGCTTTCCTAAGTTCGCACGAAGGCTATGTCCTTTTTTTCTTGTCCGGGTAAAGACTTCCATTTTTTCCAAGTCTGGACGAAGATGTTGACCATGATGTAAGAATATAAGGTGTGGCGTTGTGCATCCATTTTGATTGACCAATCAGGAACGCTTCCATCGCGCTGCCATGTCTGTCTGCGAATTTTAAAAGCTTTTAAAGTACAAAGCATATTAACATCAAGAAAATCGTGAAACAATATATATTTTTATTTCAATATTTTAATTCCAGTTGATTCAGTGATGAAACGTACAACTCGT